TTTTTCCAGTTTTTTTTTCATTTCATACTGAAATTGTTTCATATTGAAAGCTGTTTCATCCATTACTCAAGAATCGATTTTTTCCTCTTCTTGCAGGCTCGAATCGCTTTTCGAAGTTCCCTTCTGCCTGGATCAAGGGACTTCAAAAGTTGGAGGATTTCTATTGCAGAAACTGCAGCCTAGGGCCAATCCTTGCAAAGGGGTTCTTGGAATTCCGAAGCACATCCTTGAGGAAAATGGATCTCCGGGAGAACAACATCACAAAATTGGAGCCAGGAGCCATCACAGGTGCGACCCCTCATGAGAATCTGCACATATTGTATGATACCAGTATTTTTGTTTGGCCATCGAGCAAACAAGTTCGCTATAGACTCACCATCGGTGTTCTAGGCCATAAGAAAGTTCCTAATGCAGTTTACGCGTCCTTTTATCATTCTCATACCTACCAGTCATAAGTATTTTTCTTTATGACCTCAAGGTACTTTTGGTCGTGTGAAATTAAATTTTCCACATTCAATATTTGCAAGCTTCCATGGAATTAGAATAATTATTTCAAAATAATTGTTCGGAATTGCTCGGAAACTGTGCCCTGAAGGGATGAACCTGAAAGTAAAAAAAATTAAATGGAATCATGTGTCGATCTACCAGAGTAATGAATTTTCCATTTCTCGATTTTCCATTTTTTCCTTGCAAAAATTACGCTATTACCCACCAAAAGATATGCCCTGAGGGCTTATTTCTCCAAATGGTATGTGTTTCTTGAAGCCAAATCCCCATGAACAACGTAATTGGCAAGTATTAGCTCCTTATATTTCCCCTTCTCACTGTGGTGGAAGTGTCTTTAAGAAGGACCTAATCAAGCTTTTTTTTCCTAAGGGTATGAATATGGAAATTGAGTTTTCGCCAACTAAACATCACAGGAACTGATTCTGTGCCAAGCCTTACCTTCTACTTCTGCCCGAGTCCCTGAAGCAAAACAATTTCTTGTGAAATTTCCTACCCAAAAAATATGATCTCATGTGATGTTTCTGAAAAGTTAAAACTTTCCTGAAATTAACAAATCAGTAGACGCGTTCATGCCCCTTTTCAGCTTTCCATTTCTTAACATTTGGCAGAATATGTATTTAAAAACTCCCCAACCCCCAAAATCCTCAAGGGATGTGCCTCTTTATTCGATTCGATTCTTACCTCTGCATTTTAATAGCTGATTATGTGATTATGTGATTTTTAATAGCTGATGTGCCAAATTTCATTTTTCTGCCATATGTGGAACATGGTTAGAATTATTGTCAGTCATTCACTTCAGATTGTCAATATATGCTGCTTGCAATAAGTTTAGCAAGCCTGCGATTTTAATGAATAAAAAGAAATAGTAACTAAATTTAACTACACGAGCACCCATCGGTGATCCAAAACTAGCCTATGGAGTAGTGCAGTTGGCCAGTGATGGTCACGAGTCCAGAAGTGGTCGTCCTTTGCATGCGCGTAAGATGTGCATAAGATGGAGTATGGAGGTTCTCCTTGTGAAGTAAACGTATTCTTTCTTCCTCATTCCCACGACATCGGTGGCGATGGGAAAACTTCGTAATCGAAAGGATAGGATGGAAAGTCATAATTTTCCATAAAAAACTTCTCTCTCTGTTTCTCCAAGGACTGTCTTAGGGAAAACGTCAACCTACAGAAAATGCTCCTTTCCCGTGTCATGACTATTCTTGAGTGTGCAAATTTAGCTTCATTGCTCCATTGCGGGATTACTATTTTTTCACCCTTCGATGGTCATCCGATAGCTTTCCTGTTGGGAATATACAATGGATCCAAAATGACGGACATCCAATAGGCCATTCAATGGACATGGCCAAGGATAATCCTTAGACGAGACATTTAGTCATCCAGGGAATATCTGAGGAGGATATGCAGTGAACGTCTAAGTGTTCTTGAGTGTATGTCAAATGAATTCATTTTGGTTCAAAATTGCTACATGGGGTATCAGCCCAGGTATAGATCTGCCATTCCACTGGCCCCTGAACAACAGAATTATCTGATTCGCCGCATCAAAACCATCCAACTTTGAAATATATAATAGCTGACAAATTTACGGCACAGGCCGATATGAAAAGGACCGGACAACAAGACATGTTCTCGATGATTCACGCGTCCGTGTCGCGTGGATATAGGAGAAGAGTATGAAGTGTAGGATGCCAGATGAGACATTCTACGAGTAGGCAACCCTGTTTACATGGCCGAGAGAAGCTGCTCTCTCCCACTGTCTTCTATGGATCCGACACTTTTACAATGTGACGAATCAATATTATACCTGCAGTAAAGACAACACAAAAAATGTGTAGAAATGCTTTATATGCAGAAAGAGACAGGTTTAATGCTACTACCCTAATTATCGAGGATTGCTAAAACATTTTTATTTCTTAATATATATTAGATGCGAGAGACGTAACTCAGTTGCAGATTGGATGCTGTTTGACGGTTTCTTATATTGTATTATGGTCTGTTGCCGAGAACATATCACCCTGTGCGTTTCTCATTCAATATCATCGAGCAGGTTAAATCAATTTTAAATCAAGTGTTTGGTAACAGCTCGTCTACCTTCCCTTTACATTTTTCTGCAAGTTATTGCCATTGTCCAATGGTACCATGGAATGAAACACGCTGGAATTTCGGCAGAACTCAACTCTTCAGTGAGTGGGTGAAAACTGAAGAAAGCCTTCGAATCAAAATGGAGAAAAGGCTTTAATGCAACGAGACACTGTTCAAGTTTTCCACAGGGACTTTGGTGCTATCATAAACCATTCCATGTTATGCTGAAGTTTATATTTGGAGTTGGAAAAACCGTTGGTTCTAGAAGTTCCCATATTTCCATTTCAGATCTGAGACCGAAAACGATTCTTGATCTAAGTGGCAACAACATCACTGTATTTGCTGAGGAGAGCTTCGGCCCCATCATGGACGTTCTCTCGCTCGGACATGGACACATCATTCTCGGTCCTAATGATCCCGATGGTCCTGGTGAGTTGTGCTGCTTCACCATTTCATACGGTTTTTCATCTTCATCTATTCGTATTTCTTCTTTCCATCCCAGGGAATCCCATCCAGTGCGATTGCGAAGCCGCATGGTTTGTAGCTAGTCAGGAATTCCTCAGTAGGGTTCGTGGAAGTTGCATTAATAGAACGAGATTTGAGGACTTGGATGTGCATGCAATGAAAAGCTGTCAGTAGGTCTTTGTGCTATCAGATGAAGGTCTCATGGACTTCATTGGAGGACGCGCACATGGGTTCCAACTGTTTTGATTTTGGCTTCACCAAAATGGGCGCTTATATAGATGTGCATGTAAAAAAATGGTGAAGAAATAATGATTTTCTGTAGTTTTCATATCTGTGACGACGAATAAATCTGGTTGCACAAATTCCACAGTTATATCTTCTCAAAAGGCCTATTCATGCTCAACATAAAAGAAACGGGTGCAGTCCACAAACTGCAACCAGGTCGTCTGCAAATAGTAATTGCGTGAAAATCCACATGCAATTGTTAAAAAGCTGTTGCTGAATAAGTATGCCATCAATACTCAATTTTAGAGTATGGATGTGTAGCTTCCCTGATTTCAAATCTCCCAGAAACATTTTCTGGTCTGGTCAAGGGAAATGTAGGTGAAACTTGGTGGAGAAAGAAGCTGGGAGTCCCCAAACGAGACTTGCGACCAATTTGAAAATTTTCCCTTTAAAAAACATCAACTTGGTTTCAGTTTTCACCCCATCGGGGAAACTGCTCTCAGCTTTTTTTAATACATAATTTTGTTGGAGAAAAAAAAAATCCCTTTCCGCAATGAATATTTTAATTGTGCGGGGATGTAACTCAAAAATGAAAATTTCCCTAAGATCAAAACTTAAACAAAGCGTGGTCAATCAAAATGAACAGATTTGTTTAAGGCTTCGTGCTGGTCTTAGTTCTTGCGAATACGACTGGAACCCACTTTTACTGTCCCGGAAAGAGACGTGGAGAAATTAGGGAAAAGAGAAATATGCGAAACACGAACAGCATCTGATCTTTACATTTATCAGCCGAGCTGTTCGAGTGGCACATCGCCTTCTTCCTCTCGCGTGAGAGGGAGGTGACGCATGAAAGGCGATGCAGCGCTGGCGATGCGAGGGATCGAATAGACGCCTCTGAGTTAAGGAAAAACGTTGGCATTTTCGTCGGTCTCCCCGCGTTGCTTCGCTGGAAAATGCAGACTGCAGTGTAGCTGCTATGCATTGGCTTATGCCAACGATGGGACGAGTCGAAGGTGAAATCGGAAGTTTCAGATTGGAATTTTCAGTAGGGTTAGCCGCTTTCCCTTCAACCGTGTACCTTGCTCGAACGTTTCCCATCGATTGTCCCAAACAGCAGTTTCTTCGATGACCCTTAGCTGTCAGATCCGGTTCATAGTCCCTGTTCCTTGTGTGTCCGTGTGTCACACTTTGGTTGTTTTGGATTTGAAATTCGCTACCGGAGGGGAAGGCATGGGTACCCCTGAGCCCTTCAGGATATGGATGACAATGCGCATGGGCGTACGACCCAGGCCTTGGGCGCGGTGCCGTGTCAGCAACCAGAGCTGTCAGTTCCCTCCCAACCTTCCTGGCGGATGGTTCCAAGAACGCACAGCCCTCCACACTCCCATCATAATTTCATGGGAATAGGCAGTGTTTTTCGAATATAACTGATAAAATGATGTTTTTGATGGCCGAAGACAGGAAGGAGTTGGCATTTTGTTCTATTAGATGGTAAAATGCGTGTATCCTAAAATGATAAGATTCTCACAATTGGACTGGGCTTACCTATATTGTTTTATTTCGCCCTGTGGAGCGAGGATTCTTTGTGGATGTGGAAATTGCCATAAAGGAGGTGATGTGAAGTCGGTTCTCTTTCGCACACACTTGTCCACTCGTAATATCCAAGAATCAAAAGATGCGGCTTGTGTGAAATTGGGATCAGTTCTATCCACACGTAAGCCACGCATTTTGTAACAACTCCTGCAATTTGCATTACATCCTGACCGTTTCTTAATAGAAAAGATGGCATTTAGTTCCGTCAGTTCTTCCGCATCAGAAGCCTTCTAAAACCTCGTCGATCCATCGGGTGAACCTAGGGACGAGAGAACGAGAAAAGCTTCCGGATACCCATCTTGTTTCGAAGGAACATGGGTAATAGATTGTCATAGATTCGAGCAGCTCTCACCTATTAACTCTAGTGAAAACTCCATACTGTCCAGGGCGCCTCAAAGAACAAGTCTCTTTCTGGAAAAAGTGACTCACGATTCCTTCCACCGTCCAATAACTGTCCTGTGAGGCAATGGAGAGGAAGACCATTGGACTTCCCGAGTCCCCAGGACACACCGTTCGGTAATCTGCGCGGTAACGGTCATCATCATTCTTGATATCCCGTTCAACCATCACGAATGTAATGTAATAGGGATGAGTAGAAATTTAATTTGAATGTAAAAGAAATCAAAATCAGTGAACTTCCATTACATTCTTCTTTTATCCCTTCATTTTTCATATGATTTCACGAGAAGCACGCATCGGTATATACATATTCCATATTTATTCATTTGGTGGTATTATTACTGCATAATTGCATTATCAGACCTACGATCTGCATCAACCCCTCCCATGGAAAATTAAGAAATCGTGAAATGAAATTTTGAGTTCAACCGTTTACTATCTTCTTAAAAGTTTTAATGTGCTGATAGCGCATTTATTTTTACGAATTGGTTGAGTGTTCATGAAATTGAAGCATGTCTCCAAATGAAGACAGCACCATGCCATGCCGATGCTCCTTCTCTGCCGAATGGAATTGTTTCTTCTTTGTCGGAAGCAGAGGAGAGAGCTGGAGTTATGGCTAAATATGTTGCTTTTTAAAACCAAATTGTTCCTTTTAGGAATTACGTTTCATTCGCGACTCTGAATATTTCTACGCCAAACTCAGCAAGAGAAATACCAAAAAATGAACACATCTCCATCTTCATGAAACAATTCATAAAAAGGGTATTTAAAGCAAGCCTACAATGCACGACGCCTCATAACGCGTTTAAGCAAGGATAGAAAATTAATACGTCACTGCAATGGAGACCATGCATACCTTCAATGGAAGTGTTTCTAGAATGACCAGCGCAGAACATGTTCGAGGTGAGGGTACGAGTGGCGCTGAAGTCCCCTGTGAAGTGTGTGGTGTCCCGACGACACAAGCGGTTGGATATCACCGGGAGCTGAACCTCGGTCAGGACAGCCGTAAGAAGATTCGAACCGTTATAGCCCCAACCGGCAACCTGTAGCGATGTACGGTGAAAAACGGATCCATTGAACGACGTCCCTGCAGAAGACATTGTATTTATGGGTGAAGAAGCATTTCACACTTTACCCATCCTTGCATTCCATCCTGGAGATTTTCGTCAGAAACATCAAATTTGGTCGGGAGACATATCAACTGCACACGCTCAGTCAGCACGGAAGGCTTTGTTAATTTCAGAAGAGCAATATCTGAGTCGTAGTTTTGTATGCTGTAATCCTTATGGTGGAAGATGTGAGACACCTACAAAGAAACTGCGTCACTTTCCATTATTAGGAAAGGAAAGGAAGAAAGTACCAGGTATTCTTGTTTACCGAACCTGTCTGATCTGCACGTATTCATCATCTTTAACATGAGCTCGATGGTGTTTCCCAAGGTAAACCAGTAGATCTTCCTGCTTCCGAGGTCTATCGGTACCATGAATCGTGACACAATGGGCCGCTGTGAGCACCCATTCCTCTCGAATGAGGGCCCCTCCACAGACGATATCTTGTGCATGAACGTCATAAATGGCTGTCTCCCATGGCCATTCTCCTATCTGCGAAGGCTTCCCTCCTTTGGACAATGTCACTTGGTAATTCTTTCTCCCGCACACTATATATGGAATAGTTCAAAGTACATTCTCAAAAATTAAATATATGTCCCAGGTACTCAGGAAAAATGCTTGTTGTAAAACCGACCTGGCTCACAAAACGGTGCGTATCCTGTCCATTCTCCGTCCTGAGTGCATCTACGAATTTTGGGTCCTCTCAGAATGTAATATTTATTGCACAAGTACCTAACAACACTCCCGAATTCATATTTCCCATCTTGAAGGCATTTTGGCTCTTTTGTTTCGCCAATCACTTCTGAAGTCGTCGGACAAGATTCAATCTGAATCGATCCATGCGTCGGTCTGCTTAATTCTCCACATCCGGTTGCACTATTTGCTAGTGAATAAAATGACCAGAACTGGGGTCATGAAACAAAATTACAACAGTGGAATGTTTGGAAATGGCATCATGTTGGTATTCAGTCATTAAATTTTTTTTGGATTCCTGGATTCAATTATGAGTGAAAGTACTGTTGGACAATTGATGAGTTCTCTTTTTTTTTTTTTGGGGGGGGGGAGGAATATATGGCCTCACTTTCAATATTACATACCAAAGACATCTGGTATTGATGATGATGTCATTGTAGTGGTTTTCGGAAGGTGTGGCTGGCAGCACAGTTCTCCAGATCGACAGTCGTCCACATGTGAAAGAATCACAGTCCCCGGCGTGCAGAGAGATAGCCATAAGCTGTTGATGCAATGGTACGGACATTCCCGAGGACAGGCATGAAAGAAGCCCGAATCCAAGTCCTTGAATTCCGTTCCATTATGGCACTTCCCAGAAACGTACTTTAGGAATTTCCGGCCGAGCACTAGCCACGACATTTCACAATCACACAGGATGGGGTTGCCTGGAATAAAGGCACAAGAAAGAGTGCAAACATGCTGGTGAAGGAATTATGCGAGATACATGACAGGGTGTGTAGGAACGAGAAACCGTAAAACTCACCGCTCAGATCAAGGACTCCATCTCCCATAGAGAGGATGTCTAACATCGGGCGGAAGCTCCCTTCTGACAACACAGTGATTTTGTTTTCGTTGAGATGGACCGTCGTATCAGGTCGGAGACCTAGAATGCAAATTAATTCCGCTATGCGAAAAAGTANTGTCCTGTGAGGCAATGGAGAGGAAGACCATTGGACTTCCCGAGTCCCCAGGACACACCGTTCGGTAATCTGCGCGGTAACGGTCATCATCATTCTTGATATCCCGTTCAACCATCACGAATGTAATATAATAGGGATTAGTAGAAATTTAATTTGAATATAAAATAAGCCAAAATCAGTGAACTTCCATTAGATTCTTCTTTTATCCCTTCATTTTTCATATGATTTCACGAGAAGCACGCATCGGTATATACATATTCCATATTTATTCATTTGGTGGTATTATTACTGCATAATTACATTATCAGACCTACGATCTGCATCAACCCCTCCGATGGCAAATTAAGAAATCGTGAAATGAAATTTTGAGTTCAACCGTTTACTATCTTCTTAAAAGTTTTAATGTGCTGATAGCGCATATATTTTCACGAATTGGATGATTGTTCATGAAATTGAAGCATGTCTCCAAATGAAGACAGCACCATGCCATGCCGATGCTCCTTCTATGCCGAATGGAATTGTTCCTTCTTTGTCGGAAGCAGAGGAGAGAGCTGGAGTTATGGCTAAATATGTTGCTTTTTAAAACCAAATTGTTCCTTTTAGGAATTACGTTTCATTCGCGACTCTGAATAATTCTACGCCTAACTCAGCAAGAGAAATACCAAAAAATGAACACGTCTACATCTTCATGAAACAATTCATGAAAAGGGTATTTAAAGCAAGCCTACAATGCACGACGCCTCATAACGCGTTTAAGCAAGGATAGAAAATTAATACGTCACTGCAATGGAGACCATGCATACCTTCAATGGAAGTGTTTCTAGAATGACACTTATAAACACACGCAGAACATTCTAGCATGCTCTGGAAAAAAATTGAACTGGATATTCAAGGAATTCCGAGAACTTTCTTTCCAATCAGATATATATAGGGTGATTTTAAAATGCGTTCTACCGTTTTCTATGGGAGAAACACAGATTCATCAATCCAGCCAAAATAAATTACTTGGGATATGTGATCAATATTTGACAGACATTCAAGACATGAAATGTATGACAGCTTTTTTTCAGCACCCCTGCCTAAGTTGTGCCATGCCCATTTATAGGTGAATTAAGGGTGCTTAGGGGTGGATCATTCCACCTCAAGTGACATGAGCTCGACCGTCTCATAATTCAATAAATTTTGGAAACGGTCAGATGATTTTGCGAAGAGCCCGAATACAAAACCTGGAGTTCGAACTGAGTCCGAATGGGGATGGGGGGCTTCGGATGGGGGTTTGAGGGCACAAAATTGCCAAAAAAACCAACAGGTGCTGACTACGGAGTTAATCTGTCACCACCTCTTTTAGATCGACTATAACTTTTCAAGGGACATTTGGATACAGCTGATCATTTAAAGAGAGGTTCATGTCCTGCCATAAGCAAAGATAAAATATAGATATTATAAATTGACTATAGAGCATAGGAATATTTCAAGCATTCCCATCACTCCCAGCAAAAGATGGTGAAACTCACATTGCAGCAACGTCTCACGTTAATATGCTGTTGATATGTATTACATAAAAAATAGAATCTCTCTAAACAGAGGCCTCGTACTCCTTCACATTTCACCTTCGCATATGCAATCACAGTGTCCCCAGTCAATATGTAGAAACATATGCCAGGCAAGAGAAGGAATAAGTCAAGACACATGAACATCTGTCAAGCATCAGCTCCATCGTACAATACCGTAAAAAGTTATGACCAATCTAAGTTTGATCTAAGTATGAGGGTGACTAGCTGCTGCTAGTCACCCTCATACCTTGTTTGACCATATCTTTTGAAAGGACTCTCAAACGCAGATGATATTTAACAGAGAGGCTCATGGCCCAGAGAGGTTATTTTCGACATCAGCGTCCTCTATCGGTAGGCAGTGCCATCTTCCGGCACTGAAAAAACCTCATTGACTCATGAACCTACCAAATCTCTACCAAATATCAGCTGAATCTGAAGGTCCCTTAACAGCCAATCAAAATAGGGTGGTGATTTCATGATAACCATGTACATAGACGATTGTGTGAGAGTGACTGACGCTTAAGCTAATGATGTTCTAGAGAAGATAGAAATCTGAAATTTGGTACAAAAGTAGCTATTGAGGCATGGAGTTCAGGAAAAAATTCTATTTTGTAGGTATATGCCCTCAGGACGTATTTATTCCGGGGGACGTATTAAAGGAATTTATTTTATTTCCGTCAAACGAAAAGACAGAGTTGAAAATGGACATGTAAGTCCCTATTGAAGGGTGATTTCCAGGAGAATTTCAATTTTCAGAAATTTGCCTTAGGGGCATATGGGCCCCGAGAATACGTTTTTCTATTATTATTATTTGTTTCAGGCAAAGGGAGAGATATGAATAGCTGAAACTTATTATAAACGTGTCTAATGATATGCTATTTTTTTAAATGTCACTTTCAGATGGATCCCATGAGGGCAAGTTGTTTGGGGAGGCGCTGCCAAATTAATAATTTTGGCTTCAGCCAAACTGACTATTACATGGGTTATTCCATCAAGACTTATGCTACAAATGCGCAAAATTTGCAGAAATTAATTCCACCCTGCCATCTTAATTTTCGATTTCAGATTATACATTAAGGCATAACGAATGCAGGCATTGAGATTTTATTGTGACATATTACTACGATTTTTTTCAAGTTCTTCTGAGTGCATGAAAATAGAAGAAAGGTTTTTGTAACTCATGTTACAATGGAATGACACAATTTCCAAGAGTAGATCTTCCATAATTTAATCCTGCGCTATTTTTATTTGCTTTTAGACAGCATTTCGCTGCCATTTAAGCAACATATGAGATATATGTATGATTAACTTTAAAATATTGTGATTGTGTTTCTTTTTAACTAGGTTATTTTTTATTGAATCATGTTAAAGAGAGCAAATGTTACAGAGAAGTCAAGAAACTAGAATGGTCAGCATTTCCCATACATTTTTAAATATTATTCATTATCATAATAATGTCAACGAAATGAACAGGCATCGACTTGAGTCAGTGTTGCATTTATTTCTCTGCATTGACTTGGTGTGTTAGTGAGTAAAATATAAAGTGCTGCTGAAATGCAGACACGAGGAAAGAAAAGCTGAAGCAAGAAGGGAAGTATGATAAATATTTGATAAGTAGAGGAACAGTTATTGAAGCTGTTCAAACTTCTCCCCAGACGCTCAAAAATCAGTTTTACATAAATACAAATTATACTAGTACTAATTATACAAATTATACTAATTATAATAGTACCTCGTATGTACAGGGATGGACCAAAAAAAGTAAGCTGTTCGAAATTTTGCAATGAAGTTCATATGTTTGAACTGATTCACATCCAAATTTAATGGAACGTTGCCTAATGTATTATTCATGGGTTTTAAAATATCAACTGTCTGATAATTCCAATTCTTTAGTTATGGCAGGTTTTTTTTGAAATGGTCAAAAGTCTGAGTGAACAGGCATGCCACTGCTGCTGCGAAGCATGGACCAGCATTTCCATTGGAATTCAAGGAATTCATGAAAAAATTACCTTCTCAGAGAGCGAAAAACACTTTTAGCGACAGCCTGCAAAATCCTCAGTATTATCTCTTAGGAACGGAGTTTTAAAGAATGATTCCAGTGTGGATTCTGGCCTCGCAATGGCAATAGCATCCTTTTTTACACAGCTTTTTATTCATTTCGATAAAATCTGTCATAACTCAAGAATGGCAAATTAAAGCCGCATGGACTTTTGAAAAGTGTTGAAGAGCATACTATACAGCGTTCCGTTAAATTCTGAAGCCAAACTGTTTTAAATTAATTCCAAAGTTTCGAGTGGTTTACCCTTTTCTAGCCAACCCTGTACTTCGCCTACATGATGCTTTCATCATGTCTCCATTCTTGCTTCCACTTTCTCTCCTTCGTTACTGGCTTTCCACAGCACTATATTGCATTATGTTTTTCACCTGCGCAACAAATTAATGTAGAGAAAGAAAACGAACATTTTGTGACTATTGCCACTAGTGCCTCATGTCATAAATGTGGCTTAGCCAATGTATATTGCACCGGTGCAGTTTAGGGTCCGAGTCCTATTTGTATTGATTGGACTACTGTATAGCTATGAGGAACTAGCAACATTTGCACGTGAAAGCAAAAACATTAGTGAAAATCAAAATGCCAATTTTCATGACTCATGTTACTCGTGAAAATACATTCATCTTCAAGACGTCGCAGAAGATTGATTTGCATTAGTAATTGAGAATGAGACGGTACATCAACGAATGCCCATTGCACTCATTTAACCGCAGCATCAAGGATATGCACACAGCAGCACCAAAAACTCTTGACTGCATTTCAAAAATTAGCATCAATATCCCCAATAGTCGCTTTTCCCATGCGGAAGAAAGAATCGATTCTGATGGGGGATCGTACCTGCGATGGCTCCAGGCGCCAGTCTGGAAATGCCGTTGTTCCGGAGGTCTACCAATTTCAAGGCGTTGCTCTGGAATTCCAGGAGACCGCTTGAAAGCGTGGGACCAAGGGTGCCTCCTTCGTACCAAAGCTCCTCCAGTTTTTTCATC